TACTACTACTACTACTACTACTACTACTACTACTACTACTACTACTACTACTACTACTACTACTACTACTACTACTACTACTACTACTACTATTACTACTACTACTACTACTACTACTACTACTGCTGCTGCTGCTGCTGCTGCTGCTACTACTACTACTGCTGCTGCTGCTGCTGCTGCTGCTGCTGCTGCTGCTACTACTACTACTACTACAACTACTACTACTACTACTACTGCTGCTACTAATAATTTAAAAAATAATTTGAGTAAAATAATGTAAAGATCACTTTTCACGGGCATATGGAAAGAGCACGTACATTTTTACAGACAAATCGGCACTAGGTGGGTAATGTGGTCAGTATTACGCCGGCCATCTTTACTTCCCCAGAACATAAATCCTGGTACCCATTTTAGGTTGGGTCGACCTGCGACACCCTATACCTGACACAAATGCACGCAGCCAGCAGTGGGTTTTTTAACGCGAATAATAATAATAATAATAAAAAGAGGAGAACAGAAAAACATAGATGAAAAGGAAGAGGATGAGGGGGCTGCGAAAAATGCAAAGCAGAAGAAGAAGAAGAAGAAGAAGAAGAAGAAGAAGAAGAAGAAGAAGAAGAAGAAGAAGAAGAAGAAGAAGAAGAAGAAAAAGAAGAAGAAGAAGAAGGAGAAGAAGACGAAGAAGATACTCACCCTTAACACACTTCTCGTTATCAAATCCACAGATTGGAACATCAGGAGGCACGTAGATCCCGTCTGAGGTGTTATACAGGCGTCCATTGCCCCACAAGATGGGAGCCATGACATCCCAGGTCAACTGAGGAAGATTTATAATATAAACTCAAACGTGACCCCTTCCAAATCAGAAATCTGTTGTTTCGTTTCATAACTTCCTCGCTACTTCTTCTTTTCGTTGGGCCCGGTTCAGCATCACGTTTTGAACTCCATATCTCTGTCTAGACTGATGGACATGGGGGTGAAGCCTGTAAGTAATGAACATTTCACTAAGGGGACAAGACGTTTTATCAACCAACACAGAACAGGGGTCATCGGTCGTTTTACACTTGTTGAACTTCTGTGGAGGAGATCGGAGCAACTATGGATCTGTCCGGAGTGCTACGATAATCCTTTCTATTCACTAATCAGGCTTTGAAAGGACATCTAGCGCAAGCTTTGATGTATGCTACTTGTGTGGGCAACCGCTAGGTGTGCTTCTGTCGCATTCAAGCTACAGGGCTTTCTGCCCAGTCCTGTTGCCGCCTGGACACATGTCCGAACGAGCTGACCTGTTGTCTTCTAATGCATGGAAATTCAAAATAACGTTTTCATATTTTACTCAAATTATTTTTTAAATTATTAGTAGCAGTAGTAGTAGTAGTAGTAGTAGTAGTAGTAGTAGTAGTAGCAGCAGCAGCAGCAGCAGCAGCAGCAGCAGCAGCAGCAGCAGCAGCAGCAGCAGCAGCAGCAGCAGTAGTAGTAGTAGCAAATTCAAGAAACGTCCACACAAACAAAATACAACATAGTTGGGGGGGGGGGGGTGGGGTGGGGGGGGGGGGGGGGGGACGTGAAACTTTAAAAGTCATGACATGTTTGTATTTATCTCCTAGAGCATAATTTAAATATCCAATCGTTACTTTACATGAAATAATTTCAAACTCTCTGATTAGGCAGTGAGATTTCTGACATGTCAAGCAACACGGTGGTCTGGAGAGAACGGTGATGGAAGGTGCTGTTTCCAGACAACGAGGCAGAGGCCAATCTCCACGCAGGTGAATACGGGACACTGTCAAATGTATTGGCTATGACAGCACATAGGGTTGGAGAATTGGCTAGACTTCCGTGCGTGCCATGAAGAGAGCGACGTTCTGTGAAGGACATGCTGACTGACTGAGCGATTAGGTAACACAGTCGGGGCGGCTGTGTGTTAAACTTAAAGTGCCGCGAAATACAATAGATGGCTTCGAGTGATGTTCTGTTAGCACACAGTCATGTTAAGCCAACTAGAGAGAGAGAGAAAGAGAGAGAGAGAGAGAGAGAGAGAGAGAGAGAGAGAGAACTGACAAACGAGCCAGGAAACTTTAATTTTCAAGGCAGAGAGGGGGATAGAGAGAGAGCCAGAGAGAAAAAAAGAAAGGAAGAGAGAGAGAGAGAGAGAGAGAAAGAGAGAGAGAGAGAGAGAGAGAGAACTGACAAACGAGCCAGGAAACTTTAATTTTCAAGGGTCACCCGCCTAACATTCGATCGTTCTAGGCACTTATCTTCCATACATCAACTGTGTCTGTATCTACAACCATGTTATATTGGTATAGATAAATACACAATATGAGTAGGGTCAAATATAAGAACATGGATGGTAAATGTAAAATATTCAAATATATCTGATACACATTAACGCTCATATTTACTCACACACACACACACACACACACACACACACACACACACACACACACACACACACACAGACACACTCTCTCTCTCTCTCTCTCTCTTTCTCTCTAACTAGTGCACACATTCATCCACACATGCATTTACACACTTACACACAGAGTTATATATACACTAGGTTATATAAACACTCCTAAATACAGGAACATGAATACACACATACTCGCCCAGAGATGTCCAAACACACACACATACATTCATACACACATCTACTCACACTCCTGTATTTAAATACACTCATAAATATACATACACTGATATCTGCCTATTCCATTTGAACACTTATCAAAATCACACACTTTTATATATAACACTAAAACACCTACATTTATACACACACTCACATACACACCCATATATAAACAAATATAAACTCACACACAAATACGCACACATACTTATGTACTTGCAAAGACACCCGTACATGCACACACTTTACACACATATACACACTCATACATCCACTTACCTGGAGTACACACTTATGCATCCAGAACGAGAAGGGGATATATATATATATATATGTGTGTGTGTGTGTGTGTGTGAGTGTGTGTGTGTGTATAAAAAGTGAGAGAGACAGAGAGAGAGAGAGAGAGACAGGTGATTAGTGATTCAAGAATTACATATGCGTCCACTTGTGTGGCAGTGCCAAAGGCGAGCTTATTATGTTTGAACCACCTCCCATCCTGCTTTCACTGGCGTCTGCACAATACAGACCCCAGTCACTGGCACATGATGTACGAACCTCACCCTCCAGCGTGTAGCGCGTGATGACCACCTGGTCAAAGATATCACTCTTGTTCATGTCCCAGATTAAGAAGCTGGACTGCCGGTCTGCCTGGTCGTTGGTCAAAAACCTGCCAGTTTTACCTGTAATCACAAACAATACTGAACAGCGATTTAAGTGTCGAGATGATAGGTACTACTAGGCATATGAATGGCTGCCTTATACATGTTTATTTTGCATGTGTAGGCTTCAAGATTTTGCTGGGACTGACACAGTTTTCATTAGACAGTGAAGATGTTGTACGGTTTCCACTGGCACACGAACGGAGCTGTTAAGGGGTGGACCCATTTGCAGTGCTATTGGAACCGTGACTAAGGACGAACCCACAGGTGCTTTGTCTCCTGCAAATGTCCTAATGTGTAGATGCTGACTGTTCCAACAGCACACTGGCTAAGCAGACGTCAACCTTTCTTGCAGGATCAACACTTGATTCCAAATTCACACACCCTTACAGTTATTATTTCATCTATCATCGTATCTTCCATCAGCCTTGGCTCATAAATGTGCTTCAGCATGTTCCCTATTATCAACTTTGAGGTTCCTGTAGTTACGACTTTTAAGCTAAAAAGCCCACTCGTTCGTTCTTTGTGCAAACTATAAGTCCTTGTGAATACTTTACTTTAGTGAACCTAATGATGCTGTGTATCCACTCATGTCACTATTGTCAATCTTTAAGCTTTCGTAATACCGAGTTACAATCCAGCAGTACGATTCATTTGTTAACTCAGTTTTCAGATATCATCCGTAGAGCTGCAGTGGCAGCCTCATCTCCGTTCTCATACTTGATAAAATATATAGATATATAGAGTTTTGTTCTGGCTCAACGTTTCCCCTCACTCCAAATGAAAAAGCAATGATCTGAAGATCGTAGATTCCCTTTAGGGACTCCCTCAGTTAGTTCATGAGTGTTCCCTCTACCACCCCACGGGGTCGTCGTTGGAGCCACAGAGCTTTAGCTACGCAGCGGCAAGCAGTTCTACGGTGAGAGACTGAGGCATGTGAGATCAAATCCCCTGCAGTGACTACTGACAAGTATCTGTGCTATTTACATGTAAAGCCTTCAGCCTTCTCTGCTAGTGATTGTGAAATCCGAGGTTCAAATTCATATTTTGTCTCCAAAATCTTATCTCATATTTTGTCTTCCAAATCTTTTCTCATATTTTGTCCCCCAAATCTTTTCTCCTATTTTGTCTCCAAAATCTTATCTCATATTTTGCGCCCCCCCCCCCCCCCTAATCTTTTCTCATATTTAGATTTAAAAAAAACAATGGAAGGACACCTTTCCATACGTTGGGCGTCTGCTGGACATATGGAGCCCAAACTGGTAAAACCCAATTAGAACTGGGGGAGAGAGAGAGATAGAGAGAGAGAGAGAAAAAGAGAGAGAGGGAGAGGGAGGGGGAGGGGAGGAACATCACTTCATACAATATTTCCTGGTTCTGTATTAAGCTAGGTCAAGCTAGGAGATGGACTTGAACCTATACCCACCAGACTGGCAGGAAAAGAGTCTAGGCATTGCTCGCCACAGCGTTAAAAAAAAAAAATAATGTTTGTGTGGTTATAGCTTATACATTTACCAATCGACAGTGGAAAGGGGTGGAAAAGAGTGACATAGATGACCAGAGAGAGAGAGAGAGAGAGAGAGACACACACACACACACACAGAGAGAGAGAGAGAGAGAGAGAGAGAGAGAGAGAGAGAGAGAGAGAGAGAGTGTTTTCTTTTCACATTAGGAACACGAATGTAAAAATGCCAGTCACTGACCTTGAAAATGTTTATTTTTGCTGGCCTCAAAGATGTGAACGCCGTCTGGTGGCTGATTCATTTCCATAGTTTCGTTGAAGGCCTTGGCGTACAAGTAGAACGCGTCATACAGGAACCGTGAGAACTTATCCGGCTAGAGGTTGAACAAGATACATGATGATGATATAATAACAATAAAATGAAAAGAACAGAAGGTCATGGGAGAAAGGGACCAGGAGGATGAGGCAAAAGAGGAGGCGAAATAGTGGGGAATGAGAAATTACGAAGGAAGAAGAAGAGGAAGAGCTAGAAGAGAAAGAAGAATAACATCATTAAGAAGAAAGAAGAAAAAGAAGAAAAAGAACTGCAATAAATATACCAGTTATAGACAGAAAGTAACGAGGATTTATTTTATATATATATATATATATATATATATATATATATATATATATATGATATATATATATATATATATATATAAAACATTATTTTTAGTAAAATTATTTGTATTTTTCTGTCTGTCCCGTTAGTCCGTCCGTTTCGGGTGACGGTCTGTCTGTCTTCTTTCCTGTTGGTCTGACTATTGGACCCATCTGAGTGAGTTTGATCGCTTCCTTACGGAGGAGAGGAGGAGGAGGAGGAAGCGAGAGGAGGAGGTAGGAGGAGGAGGCGGAGGAGGAGGAGGGAGGAGGATTTCCTTCCTTTCCTTCCTGAGGAGAGAGGAAAGGAGGAGGATAGGAGGAAGAGGAGTGAAGGGAGGAGGAGGACTCCTGTCCTTCCTTTCCGAGGTAGGAGGAGGAGGAGAGGAGGCGGAGGAGTCCTTCTTCCTAAGGAAGGAGGGGGGAGGAGGAGGAAGGAGGAGGTCTTTCCTTTCCCTTCCTTCCTTCCTTCTCCTCCTTGAAGTCCTTCAGAAGGAGGAGAGGAGAGGAGGAGGAGGAGGAGAGGAGGAGGAGAGGGAGGAGGAAGTGAGAAGGAAAGGAAGGATCCTTCCTGGAGGAGGAGGAGGAGGAGTTTTCCCTTCCTTCGCTTCTTCCTTCCTTCCTTCCTTCCTTCCTTCCTTTCCTTCCCCGTCCTTCCTTCCTCCCTTCCTCCTTCCTTTTTTTTTCCTTCCTTCCTTTCTCTTCCTTCTTCTTACTTCTCTTTCCTTTCTTCTTCTTCTTTTCTTTCTCTTCTTCTTCTTCCTTCTTTCCTTTCTTTCTTCTTTCTTCTTTCTTCTCTTCTTCTTCTTCTTCTCTTCCTTCTTCTTCTTTTCTTCTTCCTCTTCTTCTTCTTCCTTTCTTCTTCTTCTTCTTCTTCTTCTTCTTCTTTCATTTCTCTTCTTTCTTCTCTCTTCTTCTCTTTCTTCCTTCTTTCTTTCTTCTTCTCTCTTTCTCTCTTCTTCTTCTTCTCTTCCTTCGTCTTCCCTTTCTTCTTTCTTCTTCTTCTTTCTTCTTCTTTTCTTCCTTCTTCTCCTTCTTCTTCCTTCTTCTCTCCTCTTCTTCTTTCTTCTTCTTTCTTCTTCTTCTTCCTTCTTCTTCTTTCTTCCTTTCCTTCCTTCTTCTTCTTCTTCCTTTCTTCTTTCTTTCTTCTTCCTTCTTCTTCTTCTTCTTTCTTCTTCTTTCTTCCTTCTTCTTCTTTTCTTCCTTCCTTTCTTCTTTCCTTCTTCTTCTTCTTCTTTCTTCTTCTTCCTTCTTTCTTCCTTTCTTCTTCTTCTTCTTCTTTTCTTCTTCCTTCTCTCTTCTTCTTCTTCTTCTTTCCTTCCTTCTTCTTCTTCTTCTTCTTTCCCTTCTTTCTCTCCTTCCCTCCTTCTTCTCTCTCTTTCTTCTTCTTCTTCCTCTTCCTTCTTTCTTCTTCCTTTCTTCCTTTCTTCTTCTTTTCTTCTTCTTCCTTTCTCTTCCTTTTTCTTCTTCCTTCCTTCTTCTTTCCTTCTTTCCTTCTTTCCTTTCTTCTTTTCTTCCTTCTCTTTCTCCTTCATCCTTCCTCTTCCCTTCTTCTTCCTTCTTCTTCAATTCCTTCAGTTTTTCTGTCCGTCATTCATGCTCACCCAGTGTTGCTGTTCCCCGGCGGAAGAAAGAAGAAACAAATTGAAATCTTTCTCAACAACCAGATTTCCCCGTATATTTGATGTCTCTTATCCTATTTCCCCTAAACCGAAGCATTATTACTTCACTGTCGGGTTACTAGACTCAAGTACAACAAAATCAACACAACAAAACACACATGGACTTACAGGCGTGGGTCTGGGAAGTGTCTTGTCAGAACCAAACACACGTAAAGCAGCCTGGGTGGATTCATCACTATCTAGCGACCACTCCGTGAGGTAATGATACGTGAACTGGAAAACACAAAGATGTGTATTCATTACCTTCACAAACAGAATGAACGAATGAATCAACAAAGTTGATATTACACAGGTTACAAAAACCAAGGCGTGTAGAAGATAAGGTATTTATTTTGGCGTATTATTCTTTGATGAACTGCACAGATGGCTCTGTGTGGATACATTTATATAAGTGGCATCCGGTTTATGGTTAAAAAA